AAAGTATTTTTTATTATTTTATTAAACAAATTTTTTCGTCCTTTCTCCCAAGTTCGAAATTTAGGTTAATTTTTTTTTTTTTTTCGCATTAGCGGTAGACCAAAGATTACTATGGCTGTTATCGTGCTTTTTTTGTGGTAAAATAACACATTGATTTGGAAATTCTTGCAAAAATTAAATAATTGTCACATTTTAATGAAACCTTCAGGAATTTCACTAATGAATGAAATTATTTTTGAAATGATAATTTTTAGAAAATTGTGGTAATTATTGTTTTACATCTGTTACTCCCCACTTACTTAATTTCAAGAAATTAAATTCTGATCGCAAGTTTTTTGTATTAGTTAAAAGCAGGACTCCTTCGAAGATAATCATCAATGTTTCTGTTCCGTTACTGATTCCCCGAATATCTGTTCCGAGTAAATAAAAATGCAATAAAGCTATGAGATCATTTAATTAGATAAGCTTCTAATTGCTATTAAGTAATATATATTAAGGACATTACAATCTTAAGAAAAAAAAATCGATGAATAATGAATTTTTACAAGAATTGTTTAATTTTTCTACTTTAATTATAATAATTCATAAAATTTTAAAAATCATTTAAAATGTCTTCAAAACTTTGATCGCGTTAGATGATATTGTTATTAAGTGAAAAAATTATTTATTAATCAAAAATTGAAAAGCGTAATGCAAATCATCACGTATTAAGTTTTTTTTAAAATAATTTTCAATTTTTTATGCGTACAAACATGCTCATTTTGAAAGTATGGGTAACCAAACACGACATTATCAGAAAATAAGTGCGCTGACAATAGAAAATTAAATGTCAACATTCTTAAAATTAGAATACAGAGAATATTTTCCAACATTTTTAAGATTACTGAATACTCACCGGTATTTTAGTTAATAATAGTTTAACAGATAGAACCTCCGTAGAACAACAATAACCTTGTCAACACCTTATCAGTACTTGTCATGGCTAGTCAATTACATAAACATGGCTACAGTCGGTTAGAGATCACCGCTACTATTTCTTTTAAAACTGCATTATTTTAAACTTAAAGTAAATAATATTTATTTCAAATCAAATTAATTATACATATCAACATCGGTTTCCGAACGTCTCTCATATCGAAAAAATCGGTTTTCGAACAGAATATTCAAGATGAAAATACCTCGAATAACATTGTAAAACCAAGTTAACCCAAACGGAATCATTTCTGAGTCGAGTCCTGTGTTGGATAATATTCATGTGTTGTGCTGTACTTTTCTTTTCCAATTTTCTTGTACTCTGCCTTGTTTTCACTTCATTAGTCCTCATTGTTCCAAAGAAAGCTAGCAGTGATACTGGTAAAGGCAAAAGAAAAGTTAAGAGAAAAACAATTGTTGATGATATTGTCTCTTCTTACTAAGTTCCATATGGCAAAATGAACGATCTCTACTATTCTTATTAATAAGGAGACGATCATATCTTTCCTTCCCTTTTCCAAACAATAACATCTCTTTCCTTCCCCTTCCACCTACGCCATCAGCTCTACGACTTGAAGGTACAATAAAATTGAAATGTTCGTCTATATATCTGGTTAGTATTGGGTTTATTTATCTTTTCTTAGATTTAATAATTTTCATTAGTGTTGTGTATAAATCTGTGCACATAGTATTGTTGTTAAAGTTTAAATAAACAATCGGCTTGGGACCAAGAACGGATTAATTCATTTTACATTGATTCTTATAGGAAAAATAGTTTCGGTTTAGGAAAATTTCGGGTTACGAACGAGCTTCAGGAATGAATTAAATTCGTGAACCGAGCTTTCACTGTATTTGAAATCAGCTAAAATTCTTCAAATAAAGTTTCATAAAAGTATATTTTAATTTTTGGAAGATTATTTTCATACAGAGAATTGCGATGAACGACAGCTAAAAAAGGCGCTAATCAGCTCTGTTAGGAAAAAAATCGATGCTAATCAATATAATTTCTGTTTGCAATACACCAGAGTATTTTGCCAAATGGAAATAAATACTTTAGCTGTCAAACCTAAAATGAATGCTTCAAGAAAGCATTTTCCTTTTTAAAATTCATTTTAAACCTTAAGTATCATGAATTATTGGAGGTCGTAATATATATATATATATATATATATATATATATATATATATATATATATATATATATTGAATCAATTGCTAGGTTTGCTTGTAGAAAAGTTGGTTCATTTTGACGTGCTGGAAAACTTTTCTCGCCAGAGTCAATCTTAGACATTTAAAACTATCATTTGTCAATGCATTTGCCATTATCGTCACATCAGATCTGGTGCTTCTGCTATGTATTTAGAGATTCGTGATAAAATCCAAAGAAGAATCTGCAGTGTTATTGATCCTGACCTAGCATCTCGCCTTCAGTCACTTTCCAATGAATGTAATGAAATGTAATGTATCTTCCATGTGATTTTTTTTCTATAAATATATTTATCGCAATTGTTCTGATAAACATTCCTCAATGGTACCAGGACTTTATGAATTTAAGCACGGTACTAGAATGGGGAGGGGGCTAGGTCTCATCATGTTACTGTTGAAATCGTGAGTTATAACCGCAAGTTTTATGCTAACAATTTCAGTTCCCGCACTTCTCACTCGTGAAACTCTCTTCTGGCTTCTTGCTTCCCAGTTAACTTTGATCTTCAAAAATTTAAATGCAATGTCAATCGTTATCTTCTGTCTTCTTAATTCCTGTTCTATTATTGTTCTCTCTCCTTCATGATGTTTTGTCTCTCATATTCTCTCAGGCTCAGTAAGCGATTCCGCCTTAGTGGCTTTGTTGCCTTACTTGCAATTAGATTATTAAAAACGAAGAAGAAGAAGAAGAAGAAGAAGAAAAAGAAGAAAAAAAGAAGAAGAAACAAATTAGAATAGAGAAGTGAATAAGACGGATGATGAAAAGAAAAGATTATAAAACAATGAAAGAAAGTGACAAACATGAAAATTAAACGAAGTTGAAAAGAAAAACGAATAAAAAGAAACACGAGAGATAAAAAGAAACATTAAAAAGAAACAAGTGATAAAATGAAACATTAAAAAGAAACAAAAGAGTTAAAAAAGAAACATAAGAGATAAAAAAGAAACATTAAAAAGAAACAAAAGAGATAAAAAAGAAACATTAAAAAGAAACAAAAGAGTTAAAAAAGAAACATAAGAGATAAAAAGAAACATTAAAAAGAAACAAGTGATAAAAAGAAACATTAAAAAGAAACAAAAGAAATAAAAAAGAAACATAAGAGATAAAAAGAAACATTAAAAAGAAACATTAAAAAGAAACAAGTGATAAAAAGAAACATTAAAAAGAAACAAAAGAAATAAAAA